GGCTATGTCCGGCATGTTAACAAAAAAATAGAAAGGGCTATGTTGAAGAGCCTGCTTGTGTTGATCAGACAACACAACAAGAATTCGGTCCATCACATCCTTAAAGTAAGATGGGGCACATCGATTTCTAAAATCAGTGCCCTATTACAAAATATAAAACACAAATAATGCATTTACAGAACAAAATGGAAAACAACAGCAACATGATAAAGTACAGAACAAAATGGAAAACAACAGCAACAAAATGGAAAACAACATCACTGGATCAATTTGTTATGAGAAAGTTGATAACAAATAAAAAACACCAATAAAATCCCAACAACAACAACATTTAAAACACCAATTCAAACTGAACTTCACAACACCTCAACCCTAATTTCGCAAATAACAACAGCAGCAACATTTAATTTCCGAATTTATCAATAAAATCACAAATTCGAAGCCCTAGTTTATCAATAAAATCCCAAATTTGAAGCCCTAATTTATGAACCCTAGATGCAAAGAGCCCTAATTTATCAATAAAATCCCAAATTCGAAGCCCTAATTTATGAACCCTACATGCAAAGAACCCTAATTCAAAATAAAAAAAAATATTATGAACCCTAATTCAAAATAAAAATATGAACCCTACATGCAAAGAGCCATAATTTATCACAAAAATCCCAAATTCGAAGTGAATTACCATAAAAAAATCCCAAATTTTTAAAAACATCCAATTCGAGAAAAAAAAATCAAAATTTTGTAAAAATCCCCAAATTTATAAAATTCCCAAAATTCAATATTGCTTACGGCTTTGGAAGCTTTGGAAGCTTTGGAAGAGGAAGATGGTTTGTCCGATACCAAGGGCTTCCCGGAGACGGACGGCTTTTTCGATCGCGGCATTTTGGTCAGAGACGGAGGGCTTCCCGGAGATATGGCGACGGGATGGGGAATCTTCTTCAGCGACGGGAAGATAAATTTCACGTCGACGAGAAAGAGAGATGTGAAGGCGAGAGAGAGAGAGTGAGAAATGATCGGCGATTTCATGACGATTTCACAGAGAGAGAGAGACGGGAAGGCAAGAGAGAGGAATAGTGAAGAGAGAGAGAGAGAGAAATTGTTCAAAATGAATTAATCAGCAAAATAAATCAATAATAATACAAATAGTATTTATATGGGGAGTTGGGAGGAAAGATAAATTAGCATTAGGGAGTGGAGAGGAAGAAATAAAGTGGTGGGGACTGAGGAGGAAATGGAAATGTACATTAGGGATTTTTGAGGAAATAACCGAAAAATTAACACTCATTTGAACAACTTTTTCTTTTTTATTTTCAACTATTCTACACATTATTATTTTTTTTTTTATTTCAAGTTTAACTATTTTATTCCTATTTTATATTTGTAGTTATTTTATACCCAACTGTACTATTAAAATGTTGTTTTAGTTTGAAATAGATAACTTCCTAAATGTGAGTTGAATGATTTATAAATAGAAATATTTGTATACAAAATTATCCAGTTAAAATGTGTTTTGTTTAGCTAACCAGAGCTATTTTTGAAAAAATAAAATTGTATGGTTAGTTGTTAGTGTGATTTTTATTTTATATCAAAATAATATTTAAAATAAATAATTAAAGTTGATTTGATGTAAAAGTATGAGAGAGATTGTGAGGTGATGATTAGTTAAAGTTATGTGAGTGAATGAATGTAATGTGTAAGAATGGTTGATTGATATTGTTTAATTATATTGTTAATATCGAGTATAGTGGAGTTGGATTAAAGTTGAGTTAGCTTTTGAGTATGAATTGAGTATACATTGAGTATTTTCATATACAAACACACCCTTAATGATTCCCTCTAATTTCTCTCTTTTCTCCCATCTTGTTTCATATTTTCATCTTTCACGATCCTTTCCAAATAAACAAAAAATAACATACAACAACTAGGTTAACCACCAAATAAATCATTAAGATAGTAAATAAACTTAGCTATGGTCCGACTTATGGAGTCATCCACACTTATTAACCAATAGTGTATTTACACATGTCCTACAATAAATACAATTTGGACAGGTGTCAACACATTAAGTGGTGGATGGCTCCATTAAAAAAAACCATCCGATGGCTCCATAGAATTTTTGATCAAACTTAAACCTTTCCCAAGTAATTTTGCAATATTCGTTTTTAAAACTTTTAAAATAAAAGACGACAAATATCAATTATTTGGTTAATCACTAAATAAACTAAAATAAAACCACAAATACACATAAATTTTCCAAAAATAATTTATAGATTTATTATCCAAACTCATAAAATGAAAAACAACTGAATAAATTATTAGGTTAACTAGTAATAAATCAAAATGAAACCCCAAGTAAATGAAAATTTGGTTATAAGCAATTGATACATTTGTTTTCCAAAGTAATCTTATCATTTTACATAGGTATTTTTTCAACTAGTAATTCGTAAATTTATTTCTAAATTAAAGTAATTATTATACATAATTATTTGGGACAGAGATGTTAAGGAAAAGGAAGAAGCATGAGCCACATGCAGGGGCGTAGCTAAAAAAGGACCAGTGTGGGGAAAAAATGCTATTTTATATAGGGAAATGATACAATCCCGTTACGGAACCATTCCGTCGGGATGCAACCGTTAGATCATCGTGTAACCGTCGTAAATAGTTGATCTAACGGTTACCAATCCTGACGGAATGGTTCCGTAACGGGACTGTAGAATCTCCCTTTTATATACCCTACTCAAAGAATAATTTAATACTCCATAATAAAATAAAATAAATATAAAAAATAATTTAATACTCTATTAAAAAATAAAAACAAATATTAAATAACAATGGGAACACAAAGAAGGGAAAGAAAAGAGATATTGAGAAAAGAATCACTCTTCTTGTTAATTTTGGTGGAAGCAAATCTCGACATTTTTTTTATTAGATTTGATATAAAAATTAAAAATTTGAACGTGTAAGTTAATTGAATGTTGTTTCTTAAAGGACTGTTAACATATTTAAATGTATGTGTGATTGATAACTTGTAGGGCTCTGAAAAGTTTGATATATTAGATAAAATATTTTATACATAATAATTTATTTTTTTTATATCAAATTATGGAGAAATATTTTTATAAATAGTCTTCACAGAAAAGAGCATGTGAAAATATTTCAAAATTAGTTACTTTTAGTCCAAATATAATTAAGGTGAATTATAATATTGTTAGGCCGAAAAAAAATGTAAACACCTTATTGTAGAGTCATACCAAATTATGAAAACCCATAAGAATTTCTATGAATGTGTATATTTGTATTTATACTTTGTTATGATGTAATATATTTATTTTCTAGAAACAAGTAAGCCCCCACTCATATTATGAGCTAGATCCGCCTCTGAGCACATGAGAATGAATATGATAAAACGAGAATTATGAAATAAATAAAATGAAAGAATAATTTGTTAAGGAGAAGAAATAAACTTTAAGTGATACAAAATAAAGAGAATATATTAAAAGATATAATTATGAAATAGATAAAAATGAGAGAGAATCATAATTATTTAGGAAAGAGATTCACAATTTTTGTGTAACTTACATGCAGATTATTAGGAAAGTAATCAAACACTAAAAATCATAGTTGTCAAAATCGGATCGGACCGGCCGGTCTGACCGGTTGAACCGGGAACCGGCCAGTTAACTGGTCCGATTCAATGGAAGAAACCGGCTGTGGCCAAAACCGGTCAAAAACCGGTCAATGACCGGTCGAACCGGCCAAAAAACCGGTTGGTTCAACCGGTCATTTTTTTTTTTTTTTTTTTTTTTTTTTTGCCAATCGGGTCAAATAATTTTTATGTATAAATTCTAACACTTTTATAAAGCAACTAACCTTTTATGGTTACCGATGTAGGACAAGATGTAAGAATTTCAAATTTTTAATTTGTAATGGTAAAGAATTAAAACCACGCGTGGAAGAAATTTCTTTTCCCTTTTACCTGCGTGTGGAAGGAATTTCTTTTCCCATATCTCATCTTTATTTCCTATTATTTTATTGCCCAATGTGGGAGTGTGAGGAAATATTTTTTTTTCCATATTTTTGTACTATCATCTTATTGCTTAATCAATCTATGGTAGGATCAACCTTTTAAAAAATAAGTCAATTGTATTTAATATTTATAAAGTATTATATATTTATAATATCATTAAATTAAATAACTCAACAATTAAGTTAACTATATCTATGAAATATTATATATATATATATATATATTTAAAAATATCTATAAATTAAATAAC